CGGGAAAATTAGGGGGTGGGCTTATACTCGAAGACCACCTCAGAAAAGATAATTTTTTGGGGGGTTTAAAATTGTAACCATCTTCCCAACCACGAAAAATTATCCAAATTACATTTTTTGATGAAGAAAGAAACAAATATGTTCATAAAAATACACACATTTTATTACAATGCGGTTTACATACCGTCGGAATTTGCGGTGCAAAAATGGGTAGGGTCTGTGGGAAAACAGTCGAAGGCAAAACTTTATCGTGAATATCTTCGTTGTTGAATGTTTTGGATCGTACGCAAACTCTCGATACAATGCAATTTCCGCCATGGTGTTTTTCATCATGATTTAACCTGAACAACTTTCTTTGACCTTACAGGTCATGTCTTTCGTTAACCAATCAAAATGCTGTGTCATACAGACGAAGTTTTCCGATTATTGACGAAGTCATTTTTACAATGCAATGCGGAAGTGAATTACAGCGATGTTAAAATGCGATCTGATTTCGACAAAAAACTGGGATTTTTTTTCCCCTTAAGCTGTCGATTCTTAATTTTTGAAAGGTAAACTAAGGGTGGAGGAAGTATTTTAATATTTTCACGGTCGCCAACAAGTCATGTCGAAGAATAGTTTGCTCATTCACATCCCATTCACGATAGTCTGGACACGATTATTCGAAAAAGTAAAACGATGTTCAATGATCAGGTTTCAAGACTTGACGATCACATTTTTGGTGTTTCTAAAACTACTACTCAAACGAAATATGGATTGCTTCAGTATTGCAACATCGGGGTTCATCCTGTGTAAATAACAGAATAGAAAAGGTTCGCCGGCCATGCACTCTGAAAGTTTTCTCGTAGAAGCAGGGACCAAAGTCCCGTACCAATCATGATTATTATTCAATGAAATACACTTTTTACATGCATATTTGTAATAAATGTCGCATGGTAAAAACACCCTGGGCCTATACTGGGGGATGCCCTCAACCTGTTAAATGTCTAAAAACAGAGGGTGGGCTTATACTCTGGGAGGGGCTTATGCTCGGGGTAAGTACGGTAATTAATTACAAACAATAATAACACTATACATATGTACGGTAATCTCGCATGTTTATACCTTATACTTATTATTATTATTCTAATGTGTGACTTGTATTCTACACAGGTTTATTTGTAAAAACAATGGTGTATTGTTTGAAAATGAGGTCCTACAGATAGGGGTGAAGTCTGAGTTCCGTCAGTCCCTTGGCAGATTAGGACTATTCTATGGTAATAAGACGAGTTACCAATTCATGAATTTCATGCCAGTACTTTCATCACCAGGAAATCTAAAATCAGATATCCTTTTATTAATGAGTAAGGTGGTGTATGTTTCTTAAAGGGGAGTGAGGTGGTTTATGTTAGGAAAAGGGGAGTGAGGTGGTTTATGTTAGGAAAAGGGGAGTGAGGTGGTTTATGTTAGGAAAAGGGGAGTAGGGTGGTCTGTGTTTTGGAGTGGGGTGGCAGGTAGTCTGTGTTTGGAAGTGGGGTGGCAGGTAGTCTGTGTTTGGGAGTGGGGAGTGAGGTAGTCTGTGTTTGGGAGTGGGGAGTGAGGTAGTCTGTGTTTGGGAGTGGGGAGTGAGGTAGTCTGTGTTTGTGAGTAGGGAGTGAGGTAGTCTGTTTGGGAATGGGGAGTAAGGTAGTCTGTGTTTGGGAGTGAGGTAATCTGTTTGGGAGTGGGGAGTGAGGTAGTCTGTGTTTGGGAGAATTATTTAAGAAAA